GTTGCTGACGCGTAGTGAAGTGTTTTGAGAGTCATGTGAAGGCAACAGAACTTACGTAACGCATACGGTTTTTTTTTTTATAGTTTTTCATTTCTCGATGCGTCCTTAAAGTGTCGGAATATACCTCGTTTACCCTATATTATCATGTTAACAAAAGAAAATGTATCGAAAAATTTACCACCTTACACCTTCCACTGAAGTGACAATTGATACTCTTACACTGAGCTCGTCAGAAACTGCGGACACCCGGACAGCTGCACTTCCTTTAACTCGCTTGCGTGTGGTTCAAAAACCGATAAAAAGTCGGCGACTCTTCTCTCCAATACATACATTAGTCGTGTATCCATATTCCGTATCGACAATTTTTGTAATGAATATGTTCCAAAATAAAAATTACATAAACTTTCGCAGAAAATTCTCACGATTTCACCAATGCCAACAAAGTTCTCGAATCCACACGGAATGATGGGATAAACTGCTAATCTTTCATGGCGTATGGCAACATTGTGACTGTGTTGACTGTTGACATTAGACAAGACGGTGTTGGACACCTTGTTTTAGTCATGTAAAGTTCAATTTAATAATAAATAGATTTGATCCACATTTCACAGTGACATTTAAATGATGGAAAATTTTTTCAAAATTTAAACACCAATTGATAAGTTTCAAAATACGAATTTATTCATGTTTTTGCCCTATAATGTCGAATTTGTCTTAATAACTTCACTTCAAATCCTGAATGATTTTGTCTCCCATGGCGAGTTTTTGAACGTCTTGTGTCTTTTAGAAAACGTTGGTTGTTTATAAGCAGTAATTATTTTATTTTAATGAACAAAAGAAAGTTTAGTCATCGAAATGACAAAATCATTAAATTTAAAATATTAAGTTATATGAGTGAGATCATCAATTATCAAAGAAGCTGTAAGAAAAAAATTGTTGTTTTTGATGTAAAAGAATGTTTTTAATTTAAAATAAATGCAATACTTGATTTTCAGAAATACGATGTAAAAATTAATGATCCCTATTAGAATTCAACAGACGCGACTCATTCAGAATTAAATTGAAAAAGTTGGTACCTATTTGAAATTTATGATTTTACAAATTGCTTAATTGAACGCAGTGCAGAAATTCATGATCACCTATGAGTATGAATTTAAGTCTCATGACGAGATGTCAAAATTTATTGTACTACCAAGTATGTCTATGTTTGATACATACGCTTTTTGTCCTTTTGATGAACAGAGTTTATTTAGGTTCTATTGACTGTAAGAGGTAGAACAATGTGACATATTTGCGGCCATCCAACGATCTGTTGACGGCTTTGACTCTTGGTACCACTACCGAATCGACACTTTAGCGAACTCAAGCGCGAACTTAAGCGCGAGCTTAAGAGGCAGACCTAACTTCACCTTCAACTTACCCAGTCATAAATCCATAAATACTGAACGGATTTCTTTCAAATTTGAAATATAAGTAGATAATATTAGTAATTTGTGGACAGATTTATTTCAGAATTTTACATCAACTACTTTTTTATTAATACGGAAAACCTAACTTCATTTTAACTCACCCAGCCTTAAATTCATCAATAATGAACTGATTTTATTCAAAAGTCAAAATATAAGCAGATAACATCTGTAATTTGTGGGCGGAATTTTTACAAATTTTTACATCAATTACTTTTTTCTAATGCCACAAAATACCGGAACTTGACCTGACTAGGACCTAACCTGCAAGGTGAACATGAAGTTAGGTTTTCCGTATTAATAAAAAAGTCATTGATGTAAAAATCTGAAATAATTCCGTCCACAAATTACTAATATTATCTACTTGTATTTCAAATTTGAATAAAATCCATTCATTATTGATGGATTTATGACTGGGTGAGTTAAAAATTAAGTTAGGTTTTCCATATTAATAAAAAAGTTATTGATGTAAAAATTTGAAAAAATTCTATCCACAAATTAGATGTTATCTACTGATATTTCAAATTTGAATAAAATCCATTCATTATTTATGGATTTATGGCTGGGTGAGATGAAAATGAAGTTAGGTTTTTCCGTAGTAATAAAAAAGTACCTACCGTATTTGATGTAAAATTCTGAAATGAATCTGTCCACAAATTACTAATATTATCTACTTATCTTTCAAATTTGAAAGAAATCCGTTCGGTATTTATGAATTTATGACTGTGTTAGTTGAAAATGAAGTCATGGTTTCCGTGTTAATATAAAAGTATTCGATGTAAAAATCTGAAATAAATCTGTCCGCAAATTACTAATATTATCTACTTATATTTCAAATTGGAAAGAAATCCGTTCGGTATTTATGGGTTTATGACTGGGTAAGTTGAATGTGAAGTTAGGTTTGCCTCTTGAGCTCGCGGTTGAGTTCGCGCTTGGGTTCGCTAAAGTGTCGATTCGGTGATACCACTGTACAAATATTGTGGTGGACACATCTTCCAGAAGTTTCAATGCAAAGATTCTTATTTAAATGATAATAAATCGATTCGTAGTTGTTTACTCGAATTACTCCTACCTATAGATATAAATGAACATTATTCAATTTATTTTAAACGTTTTTTATGAATTTGCATTAAAATATTTATTTTGAAATCAACCATGTCAAAGTAACAAAATAATTTGTTATAGTTTCAGGCTTCCGAAAATATTTCAAACCTCTATCAGAAATATCATAATTAATCATTCTCTTGCATTGAGTATATTAACGTTATGAACCGTGCCGCCGCTGCCGCGATCATCATTTGTTTTTGTAGTTGCATGCCGGGCACCTGCTTTTGTTGTTCTATTTAGTCTCACTCCCACAGTCCCATCATCCCATGAATTGTGTGTTTAGTGTGTGCATCATCAAAAAGTCTGCTTGACAGAGTAGTCATGGTAGCTGTAATTACTTTATTAAGTTTACTTCTTTGCAGTCATATTAAGAGACAAATCTTTAACGAACTAATACTTTGTATAATTTTAATTGTTGAGTGAAAGCTGCGCCTGCAGCCTTGCTGGCACGCAACATTTCCAAGTGAATTATCTTATAGAAACTTAGCATACCCATACGTGTTTTAAGCTTATAAGAAGTTCATTTTTTGCCTCAAATAATGTTGTATAAAAAAACTGGTGTAGGTGTATCGGGAATAAAATATGAACCGTCAATATTAGAATTTCATCCTGATCTGTGTCAATGGCAAACCAAAGATTTTTCAGAATCAGTTCAGTTTTAATTTTCTAATCTAGGGTAAACACACCATATTCCAACACCTTAAGGACGTAGGGTAAACGCGGTATATTCCGTCACATTAAGGACGCATCGAGAAATGAAAAACTATAAAAAAATAACCGTATGCGTTACTCAAGTTCTGTTTGCTTTAGGTGACTCTCAAAACACCGTAGTACGCATCGGCATCGATGAAACGTCACAAAATGTTGCCATATTTATGTGAAAGCCTTTAGAATGCAAACCTACCAAATCCCTATATTCCGTCACTGTGTGTGGCAATATTCGGCACAGGCTGGAATTCTAAGAATAGAAGTTCACTTATAAAAAAGCTTTCCACCTGAGGTGAAAAGCTTTCCTTTGATATAGTGCTCTGCCAGCCTGCCAGGTGACTGACTATAAATTAAAAGAAGGATCAAAAGTGGACAAACTGTTTCAATTGTATAGTACATCAGATTTATTATAAAATTATTTGGATGTCTCTTGTTTGATAGATATTTTTTATTTTATTTAATTGATTTTTTGAAAATTTTCCAAGTCCTTTGCTTGTAATGATCAAGTTCAAGTTAAGTATTTAGTTAACCAGTACTGTAGTACATTTCTATTGTGTTATGTAGCCTCAGTATTAGGCCTTTAATGCCCATTGACAAAATTTTTCTATGTCAAATAGTTTTTGAGTTGTGGGGTTTTTTGTTAAAAAAACGAAAAGTTGTCTAAGTTACCCCGCCGGTCTAAGTTACCCCATTTTACGGTACCTGAAACAGAATGGAATATTCTAGTGACATCATGTTTTTTTAGAAATAAAGCATAGTTTATGTTGATTAATTTTTATCCAATGTTGCCCAGTGCACAATTCTATTTATGACATTCTATGCATGATTTTGTGATGACCAATGATGCATTAATTTTTTGTTGAATGAAATTTTTTGCTGATGCAATCAAGGTAAATGCAATCAAAATTTTTTTTTAATTAAGTTTTTTGTTAACTGAAGCCTTGCTAATCAAGGTTCTCCTATAAATGCATTTTTTGGGGTGTCCCTTATTAACCAGGAGTGGTGTCCCTTATTACCTCATCTTGCAGAAATGGCCACCATTTTTTTGGAATGAGACATGCAAATTCTGTCAATCACTTTTCAAGCCAATACCTGTGTGCAACTTTTACGCGAGTAAAAATTTTTAATATGGCGGATATTTTTTTTCTACAGACCTTAGCAGAGGTACTTATCCAAAATCTCACTTTTTACACTTTTTTCAGGGATTTTTTAGTGGTAGTAAGTGTACAATTTATTAACTTTCTTTATGCTGCATTGATAGTAAAAATGTTGAACTTTATGATGCTATTTTTATTTTTGCAATATTTTTATTAGTTTAGCTGCTACGACACTTCTACAAAATGTGGGATGACTGTCCCGATTCACCCCGCCTGTCCCTTATTACCCCGTTCACGGTATTGTGGTGCAGTCAAATATGTGTTAACAAGATTGAAGAATTCCTACTTTCTGTAAACTCATGGCTTGAAAGTGACTTACATCTAATAATTTTAGAGTCATGTGGCTCAATTATACATTTTTATTGTCAATTTGGAAGGATATAATTTTTCTTGTAATTTCATTGCTCCAAAAAAAAAGGAAAGCTTAAGAAATTGGATATATTCCATGCTCACTTATAAACAAATAAGGAAATCATCCATCTAGCCATAATTTTGCAGCTCTAAATATAGTGAGAGAGCTCTAGTTGTAAATCAGAAAGTATTGTTGAATAAATATTTTCTCTGAAATATTGAAGCTCTGTCACATCATGCTGGTCACTTGTTACATTAATATTAAAATTTCATGGCCACAAAGTAATGTATTTTGATTCAATGGAAAATATTATAGATGCATATATGTTAGTTCATAAAATTTTAACTTATGGTTCAGGACAATGCTCTTGCCAAAATATCCAGCACAGCAACTTCACACAAAATGCCTCAATGATGGTCTTGCAGTTGTGGTCTGTCAGACTACATCAATAAGCCCCTCAGGGGGGACTTCTGATGTGTGTCTGTGCTCGTCAAGAAGTCCTATGGGATTTCGTGCTCCTAGGGGGATTATTCCTGAGCGCCCCACCGCTGAGCTTGCGGTGTCTGACTGCAGGTCTCAGTTGTGGGGTTAAGTTATTATGTAGGTAGGATTCCTTACATTTCCCTTCTCTGTCTCTCTCGTGCGGGTGGCCGACATCCCGTGTAAGCGACCTCTTGTTCGAGTGTCTTCGTTTCTGTTGCTTTTCACCTGTCCCTCCTTGTCACTTCGTCTCATTGAGATGCTAATGCTGCTTCTTTTGAGCCAGCTTCAGTGGGCTGGACAATTGAGACTTCCCACCCCTTGTGGGTGATGAACAATTTGAGACTTTGAATAACTGAGACCTGCTGCCTTGCTGGCGATGTTATATTTTTACCTCCGTTACGAAATAGCTTGATAGCTGAAGCGCTAGCAAACTATTCTACTATTACAACATTTACCGTATATAAGTGTACAAGTGCATTGCATTGTAAGTAGGGGACAGCCTAGACACCGAATGACATTGTGTCTGGGTCTAGTTTACATTCTCGAAAACATTAACATTTTGTGGGGGCTAAAAACTTGTTTCTCTATGAAAGAGCCAAGTGCTTTTATGGAAAGAATACAACAGACAATTAACTAACTCTGCTTGTACCTGCTGACTACTGATTCATTTCTCTAAAATCACTCAGCTCTGTTATATACAGAAAAAGTTTTTGGTCCCACAAAAAGCTCTTGTTTTTATGAATGTAAACTGGACTCAAGACACAATGTAATTCAGTGTCTGGGGTGTCACTTTAGAAACACTAGGTCAACCTCAGCATCTGTAATGTGCCACAAATTTGACTGGATCATTTAATGCTCATTTTATTATCTATGTTACATTTGTATCAATAATGCATTAACATTTTGTTTTCCTCATTCCTTACAGTTGGATTTGAATTTTGGAAGAAAGTTTGTGCTGAGCATGGCATTTCTCCCGAGGGTAAACTTGAAGACTATGCCACTGAGGGAAATGACAGAAAGGATGTATTCTTCTATCAGGTAAGCCATTTGATTGTGGCATAGTTTTGTGTTAGAAACATTTTTGTATTTTTCAATCGAAATTACTTATAGTTTCAAATTTGATGAAAGAAATGAAATTTAATTCCCATCTATTCAGTGTATGCAGATGCATTGTTAAAAATGTTTATTTACATTTTGGAGTTGTTATGCCAGATAACATTCTTATAAAATTAACAAGCAAATTTTTGATAAATTTTAGAGTTTATCTCTGCTAGGTAGTTATTTTATTGCATTTTCAGGCTGATGACGACCATTACATCCCACGTTCGGTATTACTGGATCTTGAGCCCCGAGTCATCTCCACCATAATGAACTCCCCTTATGCTAAGGTATTTTTTATGCATAAAATGAATTAATCTAAGTACGTATCTTGTCCAGTATAGTGTTGCAAGTTATCTCCCAAAATAAATTTCTTGAAAAGCTCAACCAGCTCAAATTTTTTATTTGAAGTCAGTAAATTGACACTTGAATTCTATTTTCACTATAGTAGTCTTTAGCGCATTTGCTCATTTATGGAAAAAATGCACTATTGTGCTCACCATGTCCGTCTGTCCATCTGTCTGTCTGTCCGTCTGTCTGTTCGTCTGTCTGTCTGTCCATCTGTCTGTCTTTCCGTCTGTCCGTCCGTCTGTGACCTCAAGTTTTTGTTGACAAGAAAATGCGCTCTCTGTCACTCACTGCAGTGAGTACTGAGTTATATTTTTTGCATTAACCCTCTACCACCATACCTATGTCACTTTCTGGGAACATAACTTTCAACTTGAATTATATGTAAACTACCGTATCGAGTATAGCAACCTTAGGACAGTTGTACATTTAAACATTTTAAAGTTGTTGTATGTGGCAGCAACCATCAGTGTTAGTCATTATGCGCTCACTAGAACGTATCCTTTTTGGGAAGTAGGCTTGTGATGATATTGCTCCGGTTACTCATGTCGAATAGTAGAGGGTTAACTTAACTCTCCTAGGCACTGTTAGTATACTTCTTGGTCCCAAGCCACTATGTACGATAGTGCATTGACAATTGTAAAGGTGGTATCCAAGATCAAAGGGTGGATAAATTTATTGCACTACCTGTTGCTTCTATTATTCTGTGCAATTTCTTAGAAATGAAACTGTTGCAGTTGTACAACCCAGAGAACATATACCTGAGCAAGCAAGGTGGTGGTGCTGGCAATAACTGGGCTGCAGGGTTCAGCAACGGCGAGCGTATCTACGAGGAAGTCTTTGATATAATTGACAGGTTGCTTCAGTATTTTTATTGCTCTTTTGCACAACTTAGCTATGTTGAAATTGCAATTTTCTCACTAGAGATATTCATGAAAATTTGTATCTGGTTAGCATTCTTACATTAGAATTTAGTTGAAGACTTGTTTATGTTTATACTGTCCTAAATTCTTTCACTTCCTGAATGATGATTATTCATTGACCAAGAACATTATTTAGCTTTATTATTATTATTAGTGTCAGACTGATACAAGTTAGACTGGATCGCTCTGCACTGTCTAACTTTATCTCCTGCATTAAATGAGTATAATTTGTAGACAAATTATTTGAATTGAACCATTGGACCCAAAATAAATGTAAATCACAACTTGTTGTTTGGGCTCACATTATGTGATTCATGAAGTGGTTTTGATTGTCCTACAGTAAACATTTTTTTATCAATTCAAAATGCCAGCATGGTAATGTATTACGTATTCTAATCTTCCAGAAATGGTTATCATTATTCTAACCAAAATTTATGTTATTCCTATATTTTTCTTGGAGAAATGTATACAGCTTGGAGGGAAATTAGATTTAAATGACATGTCTTATGAAGAAACATTTTTTTATTTGATTTCTATGGGCAGGTATACAATTATAGCTATTTCATCAGCACTTAGATTTAGCACAGCATGCTAAAAGTTTTTTCCCCTCAGGGAAGTTGATGGTTCTGACAGTCTGGAAGGATTCATCTTGTGTCACAGCATTGCAGGAGGCACTGGTTCTGGTCTTGGCTCTTTTATTCTTGAGAAACTCAATGATCGATTTCCCAAGAAGCTCATCCAAACCTATTCAGTGTTCCCGAACCAGGTGTGTTGGTGTCCTAAACTAGACATTACACCTCATAATTGTTCCCAATTATTTCCAAAACGATTCAATTTCTTCACGAATTTACGTCATGATTGATTATGCCTTATATTAGATAAAGAAATTTGATTCCATTTCCGCATGAAGCTTGAGGAGTTCAAATTTTTTCTCAAAAGTATAAAAATAGTTCCTCAGGTTTACTTTCTTTACAACATTAACTCTTCACAAGATGAATTCATGATACTTATATTACAATACGATAGTTGGCAAACATTAATTTGCAACTAGTGGAGTTATCCCATAATGTTCAATATAATTTCATGGGCGTCTCAAATTTTTTAGCTATAGATTTTTTTGCATATTACGGTACTCTCAATTTAAAATTTTTTTGTAAGCTTTGGCAAAGTCAAATTGTAATTATTATACGAGTTCTCAATTATTACGTATGTATCACTTCTATATTGACACCAGGAAAGTAACTTCCAATCCGGTTATTACATTAATATTTCCAATAATTTAAACCTATTAAAGCTAGTCATAAGCATTTTATTTCACCACTGAACAGTTTACGTAGCCTTTCTAATTAATGAACATCTCACTGTTTTGTTATTCTTGATGAAGAACTTATAATGGTAAATGAATAACATGTAATTTTTATCACAGGATGAAATAAGTGACGTTGTTGTACAGCCATACAATTCACTGCTGACACTCAAGCGCCTGACACAGTGCGCTGACTGCACCGTCGTATTAGACAATACGGCACTCAACCGCATCGCCACTGACAGATTGCATATCATGAAACCAACCTTCAGCCAAATTAATGCTTTGGTCTCCACCATTATGTCTGTCTCCACTGCAACTCTCAGGTACTTAGTACAGCTTAATCCTTCATCAGAGCTCTGCCAAATTAATGCTTTGGTCTCAACCATTATGTCTGTCTCCACTGCAACTCTCAGGTACTTAGTACAGCTTAATCCTTCATCAGAGCTCTGCCAAATTAATGCTTTGGTCTCAACCATTATGTCTGTCTCCACTGCAACTCTCAGGTACTTAGTACCGGTACAGCTTAACTCTCATCATAGCGATGAGTTAGTTTCTACTGAAAATTGACACTGCTACACAAATGTACAACTTACAGCCAAATTAATGCTTTGGTTTCAACCATTATGTCTGTGTTTACTGCAACTCTCAGGTACTTTGTACCGCTTAATCCTCAGTCAGAGTGATGAGTTATTTTCTGCTGAGACTTGACACTGTTCTACAAATGTACAGTTGCCATAATTTTCATTTGTTCTCGATCAGTGGAATAAACTTACTTAGGTTTTGTATTTAATTTGATTATTATTTATAACTTTTAATATTGCCATTTAACTTGATTCTAACTCCAGCTAGAAAAAGGACCAAATTTTTAGACAGTTGCAATTTTTTTAAGGATTTTGCTAAATGTTTTTCTTTTAATTGTCAATTTCTCCATAAGGTACCCGTCTTACATGAATAATGACCTGATTGGTCTCATCGCCCCACTCATCCCCACACCCAATCTACACTTCCTTATGACTGGATATACTCCACTCACCACAGATCCTGAGGTGAGAAATGATCTGTTCACCACAGATTTTGAGGTGAGAACTGATCTGTTCACCACAGCTCCTGAGGTGAGAACTGATCTGTTCACCACAGATTTTGAGGTGAGAACTGATCTGTTCACCACAGCTCCTGAGGTGAGAACTGATCTGTTCACCACAGATCCTGAGGTGAGAACTGATCTGTTCACCACAGATCCTGAGGTGAGAAATGATCTGTTCACCACAGATCCTGAGGTGAGAAATGATCTGTTCACCACAGATCCTGAGGTGAGAAATGATCTGTTCACCACAGCTCCTGAGGTGAGAACAGGCCACAATAAAATTTGATCAAAAAAGCATCTAAGTGATCTTGTTCTTGCTTGACAGAAATCGTCTAAACGGTTAGTTAAGTTGGGCGCACCTGATTCAGCGTCAGGAACTTAGAGTAAAAACGCGTAATTTTTCCATTGACATTTTACATATCAGTTATCTTGTACATTTACTTGACTAACTCAGTAACTCTGAAACTTCTCCTCAGGTTGCCAGTGTACGCAAGACGACAGTACTTGACGTGATGCGTCGACTGCTTCAGCCCAAGAACATGATGGTGTCCACTCCCCTAGACCGCACCTCTGCTCACTGCTACATCGCTATCGTCAATATTATTCAGGTGATATAGTTGTTTGGGTAGTTTTCATATTATTGATTATTCAATTAAATGTAATTAATTCCTATTATTTTATTCTGAGAGCCATAATCTTAATATTTGTGTTCTAATTTCTTATGATTAAAATAGATAAAAAATAAAAATATTCGTCTAGTCATGATTATTGATTTTTTTTGAGGTACTCATCTCTGAATTGACATTGTATTGTGATGTAGTAGGTTTGTCGATAACCGAATTGTGCACAGTTTGCCTAAATATTCATTGTCAATTTAGTCTTATCATCCCTTTTATAAATTTTCAAAATGAACAGAACAGACATTCTATAACAAGCATTTTCCGTTCCTACTAGCAATGCTATAAAGTTTGTGTGTTTGTATCTTTTGAACAATTTTCTAGATTTAAGTACTGACATTCTATAGAAGTATTGTCCGTTCTTAATAACAGTGCAATAAATTTTATGTGTTCTTACCTTTCGAATAATGTCATGAGATTTAAATGCAGACATTCTAAAATAAGTGTTGTCCGTTCCTACTAGCAGTGCAATAAAGTTTGTGTGATATTGTGTGCAATAAAGTTTGTGATCTGTTGAACACTGTCTGAGATTCAAATGTATCCTTTAAGATAACTAAGTAATATTATTGGTGCATTTTTCTTTGTATTCAGGGAGAAGTGGACCCTACTCAGGTGCACAAGTCTCTGCAACGCATCAGGGAGCGCAAGCTGGCCAATTTTATACCTTGGGGACCTGCGAGTATACAAGTAATAAACTTGTCATTTTACTGTTTTTGACTGCCTTCATTCTGAAATCGCCATCAAATTCTCCAAACAAGCGCTGGAATTTCTTGAATTGAGCTAGATACTTTTTCATTTCCCAATAATCACCAAGATTGGGTTTGAAATACGAGTAAATGGCTTATTTTTACGGTCTTTCTAATGATTATGTTAGCAAAGAAAGAGAGAGACATGAAATGTAGATTTTTGCCTTGGTGCGATGCACCTCTGCATAAAATCTAGTGTGACAATTAAGCCCACCAGTCAACTAGGGTTTGTATATTTGGATCGAGAAATAATTTTTCATGACAAGCTTACACCAATAATGTAATATCGTGCAGATATTACAAGCAAGTACTAGCCTGTCACAGTATCAGTGGAGCAATAGTTTTATAATGAGAACCCTTGAATGTTGCTTAATAATTTCGCTTCGTTTCAGGTTGCACTGAGTAAGAAAAGTCCATATATTCAGTCAGCGTACCGCGTGTCTGGCCTGATGCTGGCTAACCACACTAACATCAGCAGTCTCTTTGAGCGCACACTCAAGCAGTACGATAAATTGCGCAAACGTGAAGCCTTCCTCGAACAGTTCCGTAAAGAAGACATGTTCAGTGACAGTCTTGCTGAACTTGACGACTCCCGCGAGGCATGTATTTGGTTCTTTTGGTTTTGGCTAAGTTGATTCATTTTTGGCGTGAGAAGATCACTGTTCCTAATGAATAAACCTGTGTTTATTTCTATCAAGGATCATGTTAATTTGTTTTAAATTTTGAGTTAGTTTTGAAAAGAGGTGCGAATTTTTTTATTCAATCTATTAGATCAATTGTTTGAATAGACTTTCTGTGTTTTTTGATATTGTTTTAAAATGAGTTGCTGATTCAATGTATGATTTTTTCTTGTAAAATACCGACTGAGGTAGAATGCTGAACAAATATAGACGAAACCAAATAAATTGCTTAATTTTCAGGTTGTGCAATCGCTTGTTGACGAATACGTGTGTGCCACAACTCCCGACTACATCAACTGGGGACTAGATAAGCAGCAGCAACAAGAATAATATGTTACTTCGTCGACAACCACCAGCTAAAGCGGAAATACCAGCTACACGGTTGAAGGCAATGACTAATCTACTCTGGCTTAGTAGTGTAATTAATGTCTCCTAGACTGGTTGCTTAGTTCCAGGCTTTAATTGAAGTGCATTGTATGCTGCTGACAACCGCGTTTTTTGGTAGTAACTAATTTCATCTCTTGGATTGCAGTGGTGACTCTGGCGTGAGTTCTCAATGACCATACGCTTAGAATATTTTCATAGCCGCAGTACTTTGATATCATACGTTAGAACAGCAATGATCGCTTGATTTTGAAGAAGCCCTGTTCTCCATATAGTCTTTACCACTCTATTGAATTATGTTTTTTTTACATAGCGTCACCGGAAAAATTGGATAAAATTCAATCTAGGTTCTATTGTAGGGAAGGTGAAATACTGGACTTCATTTCAAATGAATTGATCTGATTCAATCTCTTGCCCTACCAAGTAAATAGTTTTATTTGCAAATTTTGGCTGCTGTTAAATTGCAAAAGAAAAAATGCTTGCGTAAATTTCACTAAGCTTTATTAATATTCTCTATTAAGATCCTATGAATCATGTTACGAAGCAAACGTGTCTTTTTTGGCCTCATCAATATGCGCGTTTAGTAATAAACTCTGTTCTCCTTATCGTAATAAAGTTTATCGACCAAAACTTGGGTTTTCTTAATTGAATGTATACTGAACTCACAGACCCAATCTTTAAGAATGTTATTCTTAATTTACTTGACTCGTTCATGCCAATTGGCCACAAGTATGGAACGATCGTGAACTCCTAACCTTGCATGAAGCGTCAACGACCTCGACGTTGAAATGTCAGACACGATGCCCTGGGAGAAACATATCGAGGCAACTGCAGCCAACACCAATCGATCCTGCACGTTCGATTGCCGAAATCGTAAGGAATGCGCAACATAAGTCCAAGCTCACGGAGATAGCGCTGTGCAACATAAGCTCAAATGGAGATAGCGCTGTGTAGACTGAGGATTGGCCATACGCGCCTCACTCACGGCTACCTGATTGAACGGCGCCCTATACCATATTGTGACTACTGCCTGGTGCCACTGACAGTTCTGCATGTCTTGGCGGAGTGCCCTAGCCACAACGACATCCGACAAAACTGCTACCCCAACACATCCGCCCTCGATCATGACGAGATGCTCACCAGAATGCTGCGGGAGGACCGGCGAAGTAACTTCGAAACCGATAACCTTAGACGATACTTGATGATGGAATGCAACCTGCTGCCAGAGATTTAGCATGACCCCGTAACGCCACCGCCGGTCGGTCATATGCACTTGCATCACCGCCTTTAGCGAGACTATAATCGCACTTTGCCATCACCTAGACCAAGCCTCACTAAACTTACGCTGGAGTTGATACATGAAGTCGGAGCGGACCCTCGCTCCATGAGCAGGGAATCTACCGCCCAGCCCCTGCGCCTAAAATGGATCAGGCTATAAGCCTTGAAGACGGAAGAGACCAAACATCTTTGACGTAGCTGAAGACCTCACCTCCGGCGCGAAATAGATTGCTATCTGAAGCGCTAGTAAATCTTTTACTACTACTACTACTACCAAGCTCACGGCTACAAAAGCCATAAGCCCCGTCCGATCATTGCTGGGCTATGCATCACCGGTCTGGTATCCGCATCAGCAGCTCCCGAAGACCATCCTTGAGATGGTACAATTCAGAGCTGCCCACAGGTTACTAGGTGACTTCAACCACACAGTAAAAGCCACAGAGATAGTGGCTAGACTCGACTTGGACCAGCTCCAACAGAGGAAAACGTCAGACAAAGCGTGCAAGCTGTACCGAATGTTGCATCGTCGCTTTGATGTCCAGCCGCATTCATGAGCCACACGCGCAGCAAGAGGGCACCAACAGAAGCTCCAGATCCTACGTTTTCTTTCCTTCGTCCACCAGAAAATGGAACTCCCAAAGTGCCGACGTTACGTCAGGTACATCCTCACCTGCCTTCCTGTCAGCCGTTCTAGGCTCGTTAAGGGCTATCCGCTAGAGTCTAGACAGTCATCACATCTCAAACTTTTTAGCCGGCTTTTTTAAGTCAAAACTTTTATCGGATGATGTCATGTGCATGTGCACCTTCAGTAGTAGTTATTCCTCAATTATGGCGCATCCACGGTAACATGAAGAAAAAAAGGAAGCCAGCGAAAGACTTCGCGGGGAGAAGTTATTTCTTATTTTTAGAGAATACGAGTTCTTACTCCGAGCAAACCGCTTCACTGCTACGTTAAGTCCCCGTACTTGACTGTTGCAGTTTTATGATTAAATCGTCGATAAGAATTCAGGAGTCAATGTGCTGTAATAGAATATCAAAATCTAGTAAAGTGCAAGCAGCTGCCTATATCTCTGCTGTGATACGAAGTTAAAAATAAAGCCGTCAGTAATTTGCCGACGGATTTACAAACTCGTAACTATATCTGTTATAAAGAGTCTGAGTCCCAATCGCTGACGAGTTAATACTATATATTTTTAGTGTCGCCGGAACTATAATTGGCGTGACACGCCTAATTTATGTTTATTATCGTGAAACGCCTTTATCAGTTGGCCATGCAATATCTTAAAAACACGTGGCCAATAGGTGGGTAATAATTTACATATTTAAATTGTAATAATTTACATGCTGTCGAAAATTTACATGTATTCAATAAAGTAGAACGGTTCATTGAAGCAGCCTCTAGTATAGACGCTTAATATTTTTTCGCCAACTCTGGATACTCATTAAAATTATAGTCTTTTAGCAAAAATGAAGTGTTCAGCAAAACATTCTGCGATTGACAGAACATTGAAAATTTATCACGAGAATACATAGTCGATTCCTGATAATTGTCGTCGATTCAGAGTCCGGGAAAATGGTTGTTTCAGTGAGTAGGAAGTAGGGACGCAAGAAGATTTCGAGATTTATAGGATCCTCCCGGCCGTGTACAATCTGAAGCGCATAGCTTATAGCATCTTTCCAAATGGGGGATGCAGTAGCGTGCGAAGATGGGAATGTACCGCGAAAAACCCCGGGATACAGAGAAACGATAATTTATGCATAATGATAATGAAATTATACAAGTTTATACAATAAAATTATTCAACTTTTATCAAATAAAAATACACGAGCATATATTCAAGAAAAGAATGCACTGACAATAATTACCACGTATGGCAATTTAATACTATTTTTACCTCGTGAAACGAGGTAAACAAAGCCTGAATGAGGCAAGCAAATGGCCGAAATCACAATGGTAATACGATTGTACGTCTGTGGCAGCGCATATTTCACGACCTTCAACATTGCCTCCAGCAGATAGTAGAATTTTTCCGTTGCGTTCGATGTGTAAGTGTAACCCACAATGCACGTAATATCAAGCGTCACGGGGCTGCTTGAAAGTTGCAACACTTCTGCTGGTCCTTAACAGTCAGCGCGCGGCGGCGTGAATTTGGACGTAGTTCTCATCTATCAAGATGACTCAGATAAATATAACGGTGCTCATTTCTTTCATCATCTAAGTTTTAGCAGTGCAGTGTTTGGTAACTTTGGTTACTGACTTTACCAGTGATTTGAAAATGCTGTGTTCGACCTATGATGTTTTTATGATTTTTAAAGTGAAGTAGGTAAACACTAAACTCCGGTAAATTTTCTTCTGGTCATCTTCAAACATTCGTCTAGCCAGGAGCTGCCAGAGGTCTCTCCAAAGATGAGTAGACGCTTAATACATTTTCGTTCAATTATTTGATTCCTACGCACGTGCCTACTTTTCAAAAGATTTCAGAACCTAACTACTAGTGATAAGTAGGGTTGCTGTAGTAACACTTCGTGCTACTTATGAATGTTTTGATTTCTTTCTAATGGATTTATTTATCAAGAAACCAAAATTTTTGTACGATTGACCCAATATGTGATAACGGGTTAATTTATACTCGATTTAGATCTCGTGACTTGACATATAAGTTTTCAAACACCCAAATTATGCGTACAAATCGGTCTCATACCCATATATAACTTTTGTAATTATTTCATATATAAAGCTCCAGGATTCCATTTTTACAATTGGCTAATCACATCCATGTGACAGGTCATTCTTGGTTAGTCTCGTCGGCTAGGAAGTCCTTTCGATGTTATATGCTACGTAAGCAATTCTGTGGGAAAGATACTTTCACACATATGTTCCGTCTTATTCTTATGGATCAAACAAGTAATCGGGAATCGTGCTTTTTCCGGGAGAGTAGCTTGTAGAGATAGAATGAAACAGATAGCCGTGAAGGCTGGTGGTACGACTAATCGCTCATGTGAAAGCTCTTCTGTGCCTAAATTGTTATCTTACAGACTTGAAGCAATTGTTCGATAGCCCAGTGTTCGTGAATTAAGAATCGGTTATCATGGAAATCTGTATACCCACATCGAACCCGTTTGAACTTGAAATGTCTGTACATATGTGTCGCCGTGTTTTCGAATAAAGTTATCTAAATGGAACGCCTAAAAGTGCCCTTTTACGAATGATAGTGATAGAGTCGAAAGTTAGCAACGCAAGAACGATCACACAGGTCTTTATTTCGGCGCCCCGACTGAAGCGGCAATCGTCCGGCCCGACAATTCAGTACGGAACTGAATTTCTTCTGATGTGGCCATTTCCCCTCGTATTGATCGATAGACGGTAAAGCGGCGATTTAATGTTAGAAATACTATGATCTGTTTCCGCATCGATTTTATGAAAATACTCACCAAATGAAGTATAATATTTTGAATTATGCCTACCATAAGAATTTTCGGTGTATGGTGTGATAATTAACTCGTTTTTTGTTAAAGCGCACCTGCATTGATTGCAAGGTGGCCCAGTGGTTACTGTTCAAAGTCTCGGGATTGAAGCAGAGAGGTGCGGGTGCGATCCCAGCTCACTATGACAGTTTCTTTTCAGAATCGGCAAGGAGGCCGAGCGGTTAAGTACAGCTTAATTGTAGCAGTGAATTGCGTGTTCGAGATCCGCAACAAGCTGTGAATGTTCTGCGATATTAAGAATCAGTGACAGGTCTAACGACTTAATCAACGCTGCGTCGTTTATACCGGTACTTTACTACTATATTATACTTCTATTCTATACTACTATAATATACTTCACTACTATACTATACTACTATAGTATACTATACTACTAAACTATTCTACTGTGCTATTGATTGGGGTTAAGTAAGTTGGTGCGTAAAAGAGCTTGACGTTACCCGATCCTGTGTTAGTGTAACAAAATGTTTATTTTTTTAATTAAATAATGTGAATTTCTCTTTGTTTGAACAGAACCCAAGTTAGGTTTGGGCACACGACATGTTCTCTAATGCGCGTTCCTAGTAATTAGCGTCACAAATAAGGGGATGTTATCTTGCTTCCAATTCAGCGCATCTAATTTTGGGCATTTTATTTCACTAGTTTTATGTTTCACGGTTCAATGGAGCCGAGAAAGAAGTTACGCGTGAACATTTCTGCTATTTGTATGAGACGATCCCTCGCTAAAACCTAGATCATGTAAGCGTGAACTGAGATCGCATCAACGTGAAGCGAACCCGTCCAACAACTGTAATCACGTTAACGTGAATCGATTTGGGTCGCCTGCCGAAGACCACAACTGCCCTGGATGTAATGGACCATCATGATTCCTGCCTTCCGGAACGTAGCCTTCAACACTTCAAGCCGTCCGTATCTAGGCCATGGGTCGAACCAGCCCTCGTTCGAACGGCCACTTGTCGAAGGACGATAAATTTTGGAACAGAACTATGCTATCTGAAACCTAACCTCAGATGCGGTGAACGTAAAGTTACGTAATTTAACGATGCCCGGAAGTCTGATTCGATCCGCGGCCTGGTGGTGCACGGCAGGTGGTGGTCAAGGCCGGAGGGGGACAAAGCCGAGTGGTGTACGGCTGATTGGTGGATATCCGGAGAGATCCAAGGCGTTCGATTCAGGGCTTTTTGGTGCACAAAATTGGTGGTGCACGGCTGCGCTCCCAATCGATTCCACTTTAGCGTGAACCGTTATCAGATCAACGTGTACCGGAATCAAGTCAACGTGAGCCATGATCATGATCATAGGATAGGCCTTGAACTATACAGCTTGGATAACTGCTAGGTCCTTTTGGACACATGCGCCATTGATGGCAGTCCAATTATCCTCTCATTGCACTGCCGCGCAACAATCGGATTATGCAAGCGCTACTATATGTCGGACCGCCGTGCGGTGTGGAGGCCGTTATTTATTTGGTCTGTGGTCACCAAATTTATGAAATTTTCAGAGTGAGATTGGCAATTATTCGTATCACAATTTGTAGTTAGAATTTCGTGGTATTAATCGTTTTTTTTAGAGTGTGGGCTTGTGCAGAATTTCCATGAACTATTCCGTGTATAATCGGCAAGTAGTCAGTTTGCCTTGGCATGTCCAAATTGCTCTAGATTTCTAGTGAATTCACGTCGTGCGTTTCCAGTTTTCCATTTGTATATTTTTATTAGCATTGCCCCTATGTTAAGAGTTGCATTGAAAGGGCGTTTTCGTTCACATTTTTCATTTTCAACTATGTTCACATGAGACCATCTAGGCAACGAAGAGTTCGGCAAAATTTTTACCTATCTAGTTTTTCATAGGATTCAACCTATTCATATATAACCTACTCCATACGCATAAGTACAAATTGAATAACTGCACGCATTCAATTCCGCACAAATATGGAATTGTTATAAATTGCCCATTCCTAACATCAATGTTATATTTTTACAAAAATTATCTATACCTACTATACTTATTTGAGTTTACAATGTACAATTTGGTGAAGCGGCGACATTATTTCAAGAAATTGCCCGCTTTTAACATCAAGGTTATATTTTTACAAAAAAGTATTTTTATTATATTTGCAGAATAAAACTTTGATAAGGTTCCTAGTTTCATTCTGTAGTGCGAAATTTCCACATTTCCTACCAAATATATTTTCGTATCCGAGGGTTTGAAAAAAAATCGATTATGCGTTTTTCATACTTGATTGACCGACCGTCATGAATTTATCGACCTCCCGAGTTCTGTTATTAACCCCAGGGGTCGATGCCGACGACTTTGGGTTAAGGTAAAGAAATTCACCTGCTTTCATTCGCTCAAACGTTTTAATTAAATTTTCGAGCGGTATTTTACGTGTTCGTCTGACTGCACTAATTCTGGTGTCATCTTTATGTATTTATTTATGATTTATTCTATATATTCCTAAGTTCTTTTCCGAATTGGTACCATTAAGGCTATGTCTTTGCACTTTTCTTAAACGACCCACTCAAATTGTTGGAAAGGTAGTTGTAGAATTTTTCAGTTGTATATAACATATTTTCATACGAGCGAACTAATTTCGAATTAAATAACTACCTTAGCCTTATCAGTAACGCGTTAATTATGGCCTTGCAACCGTTAATTAATTAGCCACTCGAGAAACCGAAAATACAGAATACACTCCTCGCACTGGAAGACTTGAAAAATAAAGTTCAATTTTAAGTACCGTTGAAAAATGCCGATGCTGTTCTGGATTTCCGTTTATCTGCTCGCCGGCATCTCGTCCAGTGTGAGGTGAATGATCTTCATTTTCATACATGTTATATTTCTCATCTAATATATAATCAACATAATGTCTCAAGTTTTGTACAAAATAAATATATACTTTATCCTGCTCTATGTAAACGCCTGAATAGTTATTGCTCAATTTTAACATCCATGGAGGTCTAGACACATTACGCCAGATACATATATTTGGTCAAGGTATATAAACAATTTCTTACAAGTAACACTATGTCATAATGTTCAGCGTATAAAAGTAGCATTCATATAGACTGAAAATCATTTAGACCGTTCATATCTAATATATTGTATAGAAACAGTATTAGATTTTATCTGTGTTTAGCTGCAAATGAATGTATTTTTCTTCAGTGCTACAGCAGAGGAGAACGAAGTCGAATCACTAACCTCATCTCGCGCGGATAATTACAAGCAAGCTTTGTATTATCAACGGCCGAACAACGGCGCTCGGTCCACAAATAACTTGCGACTTCTTGAGATTCACGAAGAAAATTCAGACCTGGAACGCCAGAGCCTCGAAAACGTCGCAGACATTATGGATAATGGAAAATTTGACGCGCGTTCAATTGATTGGCACGGAGATTCAGAAGATGGAGAGAACGACGGTGGTTATCAAGGCTCCGACAGCGAAGAATTTTCACAAGAAGCCCGACGACTAACACGAAGGCTGGATCGTTCGCATAAGGAAATTCTGGAAACCATTCTGAAAGGATACGATCTTAATGAATGGCCACACTTCTACTACGGTAGTAAGTATAACAAAGTTTTCCTTAAACTACAATTTTTTTATGAATTACCATAATTGTTTGATAGTACTTCATGGAAAAATGGCGATACTGAGATTTAAAGCTTCACGAGAGTGTATTTCTAGCATTTCTTGATGGTTTACTAAGTCCCGATCATGAGTTTAGACTATTTTTTAGGCACTTTTCATTTCTATCTCATTGTATCCTTCATGCGAAAAACATATCCCGATCATCTAATTCATTGTATTAAATTTTGGTGTATTGATGTAAAATTTCAATAGCGCAATATTTTATGGTTTGGGAAATTTTGCGATGAGGCTACAATTTCAACACGTCGTTGACGAATGTTTCGTCACACGCATTGTGTGCACCGCACACATGTGGTCCATTATACGTGGCGGCGATCGTTGTAGTGTGAAGGGAAATTATAGCGTTGTTGTAAGCTCAATTATCGTCATCATTAGCGACAACACCGGCTGCCTGTTCCGGCTTTTGGCTACATTAACTCCCTGCCATAGGATAACTTAGTACTTTGAATAAAGCGTATTGATAAAAATTTCGTGGTTAGACTAATCGAATCTACTTGCGACCAACATCTTCATCAACTAATTCAATTTTCATGTCAACAAATTTTATCAATTCTTGAAGCTTTACAGAAGATTCATTAAATTTATGTCCATAAAATTATTCTCTGAACTTTCATTTCAGAACGAACCGACGTCCACGTTCAAATGTTCATCAACGCGTTCGGTAGCCTCAATGCTGCTAGTATGGTGAGTTGCGCTGCCATCGGTCACAATAAATTTACGTTTATATTGGCTGCAACACAACGAAATTTTACACGTTTCGGTCAACTTAAGTTTACGTTTAGGCTGCAATTAAACTGCATTGTACACGTTTCGGTCAATATAGGGTTACGTTTAGGCTGCAACACAGCGCCATTTTACACGTTTCGGTCAAGTTAAATTTATCCTTATGCTGCGACGCAACGGCATTTCACACGTTTCGGTCAAGTTAAATTTACGTTTATGCTGTTACACAACGGCATTTTACACGTTTCGGTCACAATATATTTATGTTTAAATAGGCAGCAACACAACGAAATTTTACACGTTTCGGTCAACTTATATTTACGTTTAGGCTGCGACACAACAGCATTTTACACGTTTCGGTCAACATAGTTTACGTTTAATTAAGCTGCGACACAACGGCATTTTACACGTGTGATTACTAACACGTGTATATTCTGACAACATTCTAGGAGAATAATTGTGTTTTAAATGCAAGTGGAGTATTGGAGTTTCGTACAGTATCTTGACTGCAGTACCGAAACTAAAGGGAAAAATTTTCAATCTTTAGAGTGTTTTGCTCCATCAGAATGCGCTCCACACCCGCATGCCTGGGGCAGAAATTTAAAATATTCCAAAATTCGTACACAAGTTACATATTATTTAGTTTGGAACGAGTTTTCATACCTGATAAGGTTATAAAAATATGTTTGGTAACTAATATGATTTGTGCAGGACTTTCAAATAGACGTGTTCCTGCGTCAGATGTGGCAGGACCCAAGGCTGGCCTACAGCGACAAGCGCGAGTATCTCACCGTCATGGATGAGGAGGTCGGGTTTGGTTTGCATTTTGTTGGTTTTGTGCTTTCATTTTGTTTGTTTTATGCATTCATTTTGTTTGTTGTATGCATTTATTTTGTTTGTTGTGTGCATTTATTTTGCTTGTTGTATGCATTCATTTTGTTTGTTTTATGCATTCATTTTGTTTGTTGTATGCATTTATTTTGTTTGTTGTATGCATCCATTTTGTCTGCTTTGTGCATTTATTTTGTTTGTTTTATGCATTCATTTTATTTGTTTTATGCATTTATTTTGTTTTATGCATTCATTTTATTTGTTTTATGCATTCATTTTATTTGTTTTATGCATTCATTTTGTTTGTTTTATGCATTTATTTTGTTTTATGCATTCATTTTGTTTGTTTTATGCATTCATTTTGTTTGTTTTATCCGTTCATTTGTTTGCTTTAGGCATTTATTTGGTTTGTTTTGTGCAAGCATTTTCTTATACTGCTGTAAATTTGTCATTGTTTCATAATTGGAATGTCTTCAAATGTTTATTCGTAAATCGCATAAATGTGTATTTTTCATTTCTACATCGCACATTCTAAAACGTACTATGTCTTGGCAATATTTTTGATGCATACGTACTTACCAATAACTGGTTAAATATTTCAATGATCCTGGTTAATTATTACCTAATTGTTAAAGTTATCACGTAATTCAACGCTTTTCGTACTGCATGAATAATTCATTGTCGGTTTCTTGTGTTAGCGGACCCAATTTTTTTAGCGGAAAAATTTAAAGTTTTTGAATTTTGGCTGATATTAAGACCTAAAAGGCCCTCTTTTATCCTCTTTTGAAGTCTCATTAGAATCTACACCAATTCACTTTTTTCCGGCAGGAATAATTGCTCAAAGGTCGAACTAAATTTTAAACGTTGTACCTGTGAATATTTATTTATTGTATCATTTTCCCAAGGTTTGATGTCATTCTGCATTTACTCGCTAGAAATATTTACATTTGAGTGCGGTAGCATCAACGTGTAATGTAGAAATATAATAATACAGCCATACTGATATCAATATGATAATAAAATACTGATATCAGTAACTTATAATAAAATCAATATAAAGCAATATCATAATATTATAATATAAAATTACCAATAAACTGATAATAAAATAACTGATAATAAAATCAATATTATAAATATTATAATTATAATATAAAATCACCAATAAACTGATGATGAAATCATAATGTCTGGCCCTGTACAGACTCACCGACGTATTTGGAAGCCAGACACATTTTTCGACAACGTCAAGGTGGCTCACATTCACGCGGTGACCGTGCCTAACGTGGTTATGAGGATCACGAAGATGGGAGATATCATGTACACGATGAGGTGTGTACACTGGGGGGTATCATGTACACGATGAGGTGTGTACACTGTGGGGTATCATGTACACGATGAGACACTGGGGGGTATCATGTACACGATGAGGTGTGTACACTGGGGGGTATCATGTACACGATGAGGTGTGTACACAGGCGGGTACCATGTACAGGATGAGGTGTGTACACTGGGGGGTACCATGTACAGGATGAGGTGTGTACACTGCTGAAATGGGCGATTTCTTGTACACGATGAGGTGTGTATGCCAAGGTAAAATAGATAATAGCTATATATAGGTGTATTATTCTATTAATGCTATAAAATTTATTATGACCATTATGCGCCTCTCTTCTGACTTAACAGACTTTAAATGAAGCACTGTTTGAGGCTGGATGAAGTACCAATAGAAAGATGAACTGTTAAATTTATGTTTAGACATTTTATTATTAGTGTAGTTATGCAGAAGTTCTTCATTTATACAGGTTTGATTGAAGACCAATAAAATAAAAAAACAACAACAAGAAAATTGTTAATAAAAAGTAAGCTCTGGTCTTTAATCAAACATTTTATTATTCACGTTCATTGTAATATAAATATTTTATGTCAATAAATGGGTTTAAATCACTATTCTGCTCTCTGGAACAGGTTGGCTCTGGTTCTGACTTGCAACATGCAGCTACGGCTCTACCCGTTCGACACGCAGTACTGTTACATCGACCTCTCATCCCGTGAGACTTATAATTCCGTGCTATGAAATTATTTGAATCAAAATTATCGGTTACATTGAAATTTGTCATACTTTCAAACCCTGAAAAATTTTAGGCTCTAATTTCTTAACGTTTTTAGTGCATTTTCTCATTTATGGAAAAAAGGCGCTATTGTGCTCGTCATGTCCGTCCGTTCTTGACTTCATGGACGGACGGACGAGAAAATGCGCTCTGTCACTCACTGCAGTGAGTACTGGTCTATTTTTTTACATTTTTACCATCTATCAGAATTGGAAATAACCAACATTATTATATGAAATTACCGTCATGTAAAAATAATACATTTACCTTTTGTTGATGTTGCTCCCATTGTAGTTTCTAGCACCGAAGAAATCGTCTCGTACCACTGGCATGACAATTTGCCCATCAAAATATTAGCTGACTTGGAAATTGCCGAATTCGACTTGATTGACACCAGCACAACGGAAACGAAACTCGAATTCGCGACAGGTATGATAAACCAATAAAAAACATAACGGTTTTACTGGTTTTAAAACCATGAAAAACCATAATACGATGGTTTTAAAATCATGAAAAACCATGATATTACTATTAATTCTGGATGACTATTGTTTGTGAACAGGTTTTTGAATTTTATGTATTTCATCCGCCATTTTTATATTAACTTATAAATAATAATTACTGTTAAGCAGTTGACTTACGTCCCACGAGCAATAAAGCAAAGCATGACATCCGAAGAAGAGTATTGGCAATTAAATGTTAAATATCATCCACAGATGGTTCAATGTTTCCAAAATATGTTTGGCAACATTCAAACATTCAAAAAATATGTTTGGAAAATCAATTCAATGGCGTCTGAGAAAATCGCTAGCCTTTAAAATAGAGATAAGTTTTTGTCGTCAGCACTGTAGTTGAAAATACTTGATGCTTAAGACATTTAACCATTCCTTTATATCTTCTCATTTCTGTTAGTTTCAGCGCATACAAGCTCGCTTCGCCATAAAAGTTAATCTATAGATCTAATAAATTCACGAACTCTAAATGAATGGGGGTTTAGACAATAAATTATTATATTTTAATTGTTTTTCCGATTGCAGGTAATTTCAGCGACATACAAGCTCTAAAAAATAGATATAATAAATTCACCACCTGTAAAATGAATGAGGATGAAGACAATAAATTATTTTTATTAATTGTTCTTCTGATTGCAGGTAACAGCGACATACAAGCTCTAAAAAGGAATATATAGATGTAATAAATTCACCAACTGTAAAATGAATGAGGATCAAGACCATACATTTTTTTATTAATTGTTCTTCTGACTGCAGGTAATTTCAGCGGCATACAAGCTCGCTTCACGCTCCGAAGACAGAACGGTTACCATCTTCTTCAGACTTACGTACCTACCATCATCATCGTATGCATGTCGTGGTTATCTTTCTGGATCGAACCTGACCACGTGCCAGGCAGGGTTACGTTATGTGTCACAACCCTGCTCACCCTGACAACCCTGGCCGGCGGTGTACGACAGAGCCTGCCTAGGGTCTCGTATGTTAAGGTTGGTATTGCTTAGGGTCTCATATGTTAAGGTTGGTATTGCTTAGGGTCTCTTATGTTAAGGTTGGTATTGCTTAGGGTCTCTTATGTTAAGGTTGGTATTGCTTAGGGTCTCGTATGTTAAGGTTGGTATTGCTTAGGGTCTCGTATGTTGAGGTTGGTATTGCTTAGGGTCTCGTATGTTAAGGTTGGTATTGCTAGGGTCTCGTATGTTAAGGTTGGTATTGCTTAGGGGTCTCGTATGTTAAGGTTGGTATTGCTTAGGGGTCTCGTATGTTAAGGTTGGTATTGCTTTGGGTCTCATATATCAAGGTTGGTATTGCTTAGGGTCTCGTATGTTAAGGTTAATTGGTATTGATGGCACAGTAACAATTATTTAGACATTTCTATGCAAAAATAACGCAAGTGACTGGCAAGGATGCGTTTTTCGTTCGGGACGAAGCAATGTGCCTTCTTAAACGGTACCAAATACTATAAAAATGCATTTTTAGGCTATTAAACCATTTCGAACTGATTGCAAATTGACATATAGTTTACACGAAAGAGCAATCTTTAACTGTGAAAATCAAACTGTACTTTAGTAATAAGGTTTTACGCATTCCTGAAGTGTGCAACGGACTAGTGGCTTATTAGTTTCATTTCTAAAATTGCCATAATTTCGAATGTTCAATTAATACGCTTCACAATATTGAATCGTTAAAAATCTATTGTTAATATTTGTTGATTTTCCTCCTGAATGTCTGAATTAGGCAGTGGACGTGTGGCTCGTGGTGTGCATGCTTATGGTGTTCGCAGTTCTCATCGAATTCACTGTCGTCAACTCCCTGGCTACGAGAAAGAAAGATCCACGCCTCTATAAATCACCGGTACGTTATCAGGTGCAAAAGTGAATAATTTGCAGATATAATTGACGAGGAGTAAGTTTGAAATAATATTGTAAAAGACATTAAAGTACCATCTCATGCAAATATTTTATTCACTATCGGCTTCATAGGGACACCATCTAATTTACTCATTTAGATTTGATGAAATTTGTTCAGAATCAAATTAAGTTAAAAAAATTAGACTTATTAGCAAAATTGTTTGAAATGGTTGTTGTTTGCTTTACGTTTATGCGATCATGAGAATATTGCATCCTTCAGTTTTATTTGATCGTTACAGCCGTATTGAGATTTAATGCTGATGATAATACCGAGCTTCTCTGAATTCTGTACAGTCGGGGCCTATGAAGATGCCCTCAAAAACATATATTAGCCAGGCCCGACGAATCGACGAGTTCAGCAGGGCGCTTTTCCCTGCGTTCTTCTTCTTATTCAACGTGTTCTACTGGACTTACTACATCCTCAGGCTCTACCAAGAGGTCAACAAAACGCCCTTCACCTACTGAGAATCTTTTATGATGTTCTTTGCTTCTTCAACGTCTTCTGCTATATCAAATACATTCTACTTATGGTTGAAGTAGTATAAAGTTGACCCACGAGAAGCTCATTTTTGCGGATGTAGTTTGTTGTTCGCCTGTGATATCACTGATCTCGGTGACGTCACTGCATTAACCAACCACCGAAATGCGATCAAACCAGTAAACTAATCCGTCATGGCATGACGGTTTTGCTACGTTTCTCGATCTCAGTGTTGTAATCAGATCAGCCGCTATACTTTTTTTTTTACTTTTTTCTTTTTCTCTCTTCTTTTTGCCACACATTTCCTACTGCACACAACAATCCTGTGTGCATACACACACACAACTTTTCCTGTGTGTATTCTTAGTGTTTACCTCGTAACAAGAAAGCTGAACTGAAAGACGGAAATCCTCGTGGGTCAACCTTACATAGTTCAACCATGATTCTACGTATCCTCAAATTATTACACAAGGTCAATCTAAACCGCCCACTTACTATGTAACATCCATTCGGTAATTATTCTTCGACGTAAACTGCTAGACTTTCATCTTGCTTTTTATCATCAATCTATTACATGAGGTATATCAAACACCGCATATTACCGGTAGGGCAGAGTGGGTAAAGTTTAGAGTACGAGGATGGTAGCAGTGAGTTGTGGGTCCGAAAGCAGCTTCCGGTTACATTTCTGGTCAAAATCGGTGAGGTGACAGGGTGGTTGAGAATTGCTGGACTGGAGCAGTGAGTTTCGGGTTTATAGCGCTGCAAGCTACGAGAATTCTATGATGTAAAAAAATCGACGATAGAAATATTTGTCCAAATGAACGCTGACCACGACCACTATTACTACTACTATAATACCGTCCATTTTCTGAGTACCGATGGTTCTTCCTTTTTTTCGACGTTTTTTATCTGATATACTACATTGTCACACTACCATTGGCCGGCAAGTGAAAAAACTAGTAATGAATTAAAATCCTTGATTTTCTTAGATATTCATCTGTATTGTTTAAAATGTTTTTATGTTTTCTGCATTTATATTGATTAAAATCTCGCCCAATAAATGCTGCCTGTCCTTTATGTCTTAAATGTCTCCAACAGGACGTTTTTCATAAACATGAATGGCTTTAAGTTTACTATAAAGCGAGAAGAACGCAACTTGTATTTTTATATTAAGATTTACTAAGCTGTTTCTATGACTGTTCTTTTGTCTCTGTAATAACGTGGGCATCGAAATCATTATGTATGTGCTTTCATTATAAATGCATAAACCGTTTTCAGACTTAACTGAATTTAGTCCTTTCCTTATAAGACCAGATAGCCACCTGAGATTAAAAAATAAGCTGCGTTTACCTTATGAATAGCACCTTATGGGTCTTGCAATAAGTCCAGCAGCTATCTCAATCAATCGTCAGTTATGGAAAGATCGGGTTCCAAAGGCCGGATCCCTTGTGAATCAAGTCACGAAAAAATGCAAGAATCGGCTATTTCGTCAGTGCCGACACTTCTGTTCTATTCTTATGAATTAAATTTCGAGCTGATTGAGAAAACGTCCTAGACGTTGCGATCAGTGCTAGACACGGGAAGGAAGAGAAAGCGCTTACTTGCCACAGATGCCGCCAGAGCTGCAGCTTGCTTAGCTGTGCTCTCCAAAGGAGTGCGTGTTTCGTGTTTTCTGAGCTTTATGTGATATTTAAGTGTGTTTCCATTGTATTAATATGAAACAAACTTACTAGAAATGAGTTTGAACATCTTGCCTTTGCGTTGATTTGAATAATTTGTTGTGTGGGAAAAGTATTCATTGAATGTGTGATATTATTCTTCGTCTAAATTTCTGAATTGTCTTAAATTCAGTGATTATCGCATTATAAATTTCCATACAACATATGCCGATCGCTGAATGAAATATTACATGTGAGAGGTAGTACTTGAAGCAACGTGTCATTTCTATAATTGCATCAGACATATGGTGTGGTCACTCCTCGAAAAAAGCGTTGGTAGAGAACAATCTGTGTTAGACAGCGTGAGGGATGCTTCTTTCTCTTTGACACACTTTTGGACAAGCGAGTTCGTGTCGGCGATGATTGCTTCGCAGAGTTAGTTTTGTGACGAGACAAACATGTGAATGGTGATGCTTAGCGCCAGGCTTGATCACTGCGATTGTGCAAATTATAGAATAGAAGTTATAGAACAGAAGTGTCGGCATTGAAGAAATAGGCTCATGGCCTTTTGCCGTTTCTTGTACTTTTCGTGGCTCGATTTCATAAGGGATCCGGCCTTTTGAACCCGATCTTTCTATAACTGACGATTAATTGAGATAGCTGCTGGAATTATTGCCAGTTTACGTCGTTAGAAAGAATACTATTTAAAATAACGTTCTTGCATGTGTTGGTAAAATGCGTTAATATTTTGTTACTTGTATAATCACAAGACGGTATAACGAAGCGGCTGGATCTTCTTATGAGTCAGGGAGAATCGTCTTCAGGTTACAAGGCATTTTAAGTTGAAATCATTTCAGTGCCCTTTCACTTTATCACACTGCAACAATTCGCTCTCGGATCATCCAGCGTGACGTTTTTGACCTTGCATTAGAGTAGACACTAGCGGCTAGCGTCGACAGCCTTAATTTATGTAAGTTTGCTGTGAGTACAACCGTAGATTTAATATATATCATCGTTCTCAAAGTATTTGGGAATTTACATAAAGCCTTGTAAATCTAAAATGTAAAATGTCACAAATATTGATGTATTATTTTTTTTTTTGAGCGGCATTTGAATTGGCATAGAAGCCCCTTTTGAAGTTCCGATTGAAATGTGATTGTTTTCTATGGGTCGTTTTCTAGAATACAATGAAATATATTTTAGGAGAAACCACTACAAACTTGAAGTTCCCGTGGAACGTCATAGAAAATTATTAAATGCAAAAATAGCCTGTGAATATCTTAAAAATTGAAAGTAAGAACTGAAAGACTAATAATGCTTCTATGGGTACATTACATTGTTTTTTTTTTTCATGCTTTTATTCCCATATTTTGATAAATACTTGAATGACATTCATAGATCTTCAAAGCTAATTAACGTTAATTAGATTATCCGCCCATTGAATATCAATTTAGTGATATAAAAATAATTGTGCCGTCGTTCATCATCGGTTCATGTGTATAATTTTTAATAACTTTTCGTTTAATTGACTATAGTACTATTTTTAAATTGCGGAATTTAATTAATTACATATATGCAGAGCTGGGCAGCGCTACTTTGAAATGTAACGGTCGCTACCGCTACATCCTACATGCTCTAAATGTACACCCACTAGATTGTAGCGAGCGCTACCGCTACCGCTACAGTAAAATGTAGCGCCGCTACATTAGCCGCTAAAGGGCCAAAATTATTAGAAATCTCTAAATATTTATTGTTCTCCTATTGGGATTTACTCATAACATTCATTTAATTATAATAAAACATTTTCAAAACATATCAATGCAACTTTATTGCACCTATCCTAACCGAACTAGTACGGGTTAGATACAGTAAATAAAAGTTAGTTATTTTTATGTTTTACTTTCCCTACAAGGATGTCTACTTTAATCTACCAATCTCAAAAATTATACATATAAAAATACATATATTCATATACATATAAAAATCGGTCTTTTATTTGTATATATATGTGGAATATTTTCGAGATTGGTAGATTAAAGTAGAAATCCATGTAGGGAAGGTGAAACATAAAAAAATATAACTCAGTACTTACTGCAGTGAGTGCCAGAGAGCGCATTTTCTCGTCGACGAAAACTTGAGGTCACGGACAGACCGACGGACAGACAGACAGACAGACGGACGGACATGGTGAGCACAATAGTGCATTTTTTCCTTGAATGAGAAAATGCGCTAATAACAGTACCTATAAAAAAACTGTAAGCAAACTGAAACACGAAAAAATACCTGTAAGTGGTAACTGGTAACATCTTAACAAGTAACAACTAACATGTTGACACTAGTAACAGGCTGAGGTTGACAACATTACTCCGAAATCTTTCGTACAGTTTTATGCTGTAATTTATATTATGTATGTATCATGCTGGTTTTTAAATAATATTTAATACTATCAAGTAAAATCAAAGGCTTTATCTATAAATGTAGCGGAAGCGCTGTAGCGGCAAAACCTCGTATCGCTACTTAAATATGTAGCGGGCGCTCCATCTACCGCTACATTGCCTTAAATGTAGCGCCGCTACCGCTACTGAAAATGTAGCGGCCGCTACCGCTACATTGCCTTAAATGTAGCGCCGCTACCGCTACTGAAAATGTAGCGGCCGCTAGTAGCGGCTGCTACATGTAGCACCCTACTGCCCACCTCTGCATATATGTAACATGAATCTAGCTGCTTATTAGTTATAGAATAGAATATAAGTGCCGGCACTGAAGAAATAGGCCCATGGCCTCTTGCCGATTCTTGTACTTTTCGTGACTTGATTCACAAGGGATCCGGCCTTTTGAACCCGATCTTTCCATAACTGACGATTGATTGAGATAGCTGCTGGAATAAGACTGAACATATGCTCCTGCATAGCTTCGTCTAGTCTGTTCTTGAAGGCGTTCATACTCGGAGCGTCAACGATGCTATCAGGGAGGCTGTTCCACATGTCGGTGACTCGAAGCGAGAAGAAATGTTGTCGCATGGATGTGTTAAAACGGAGTTTCTTTAGTTTATAGCCGTGGTCCCTGGTGTTCTTGTTCTTGTTTAAATTCTAGTAATCCTTCTGGGACCTTGTATAAACCACGAGTATACTTGTATGCTTCAATGAGGTCACCACGTGTGACGATGGCTTATATAAGTCTCAAGGTCTCTTATTTTGTTCTAGAAAATATTTTTGCAGTTTTAAACTATTCACTTCTACATTGTTTTGCATGCTGCATTCTTCGTGATTTTCTAGTTATAGGTATGAATTTATTCAGTCACTGGTCAGGCTTACTTATTACTTGTCAGTGACCCAATACGTATTGATGAAAGCGAATGAAGTCAATGACAGTTAATTTCCACTTCAAATTCTCACCATGCCTGGTTGTCGAATAACTAAACATAATTTTTCTCAATATTTGACCTATTATTTTAATAACATTTTAGGAAACATGCGATTACAAAGATTATTAATCAACTCATCAGTCAAATAAATGTTGATCTTAGCAAATGCCTGCAAAAACTGTCCATTGCTGCATGAGATCAGTTTGAGGCTTGAGTAAAGCTTTTTGATCGATCAATCAGA